CCCGCGCGCCAGGCCCCGGCACCGGGGATCGCTCGCTCCGGTACCGGCCCGCGCACCGGAGCCGCCGGGGAGCAGCTCTGGGCCTTTGCGTTGGGAGCAACCGGCCCTTGCAACCGGGAGGAACCGGCCTCGAGTGGCAGGGCCTTGCACGGGGGCAGCGGCTACTAGATGTGGCGAGAGGGGGGCTGCACCGGCCACTACAGGGACCTGGCCCCCCGGGAACCCCCCGGCCCTGCCAGGCGCACGGGTTGGGGAGCACAGGGATGGGGGGCAGCGCGGCACGGGGCGCCGCTGCACCGGCCAGCGGGTCCGTCCGCGCTCGGGGCCTCACCGGCTTCGTCGCTCTCTGCGGCTGCGGGTCTGGGCTCCGCGGGGCAGGGCTGCATCCCGGAGCTCCCGCCTGCAGAAACGGCCCGATTCTGGGAAAAGTGGCGTGGGATGGAGCAGGGGTTGCATGTGAGTAAGGGGGCAGGGAGGAAATTGCCACCGGGTGAGTGGTGCCAGAGCGCCGAGTCCCACCGGCTTTTCCAACTTCCTTATTTCTGGTAAATGAGCTGAGCAGGCGAGAGCCAGAGGGATCGGTGCCCGGCGGAGCCATGTGTGCAGGGGAGGCGCTTCCGGCGGCCGCTGCTCCGGCCTGCGGCTCCGCACATCGGCACGGCCCCCGTCGCTACCTTAACCCCTCGCCGGGCTGCGGCACCAACCACCTTGGGCCCCACATGTCCCTTGAGCCTGCGGCCCCGCGTTGGCACCCGATGCCCTGTGCCCGGGCGCTGGGCACCCATGAATGCCCAGGTCCCGGCCCTGCTGTGGACATGGGGCAGGAGGAGGGGGCAATGGGAAGGAGCCGCAGCGCAGCCGGAGCGGCCCCCACAGCATCCCTGTCACCGCCGGGCGCCGCGGGCCGGGGTTCTGCCCTTGGCCTCACGTCCCCTGTCGCCCAGGGCTGCTCCCTCTGCGTCCTCTCCCCGGACAGGCAGCAGAGGCCGCAGAGCGGGAGGCAAAACGAGCAGCCTTGTGTAGCTTCCCAGGCATCGCCGTGGGGCGGCATCCCGTGGAACGGGCCACCCCAGGGTGATGGAGCAGCTTGCAGCAACGAGGCACCACAGGACAACGGAGCATCTTGGAGAGAGGGGGCGCGTGGGGAGATGGGGCACCCCAGGGTACCAGGCCCTGTGGGGCGATGCGGCACCCTGGGGCGACGGGGCACCCTGAGCGGCGCAGGAGCCACGCGGGCTGCGGCAGGAAGCGACGCGCGAGCGCCCGCCTGGGACCTCCGGGCCTTTCACTTTCGCTACCGGCCCATCTTCCGCGGCCGAGAAGACTCCGGAGAGAGATGGGGCAGGCGGCGGGGAGGCCGCGGGGGAGCGCCCGCCGCCCCGGCCAGCGCTGCCTGTGGCACTGCCGCTGCCAATGGCCTGCGGTTATGTAAGCGAGTCCCAAGTTCTCCCTGACGCGATTGCTGCATCCGTGGATTCAGAGAGGCCGGGATGAGCCCTGCCGCTGCAGGCTGCCCGCCACTGCCCTCAGCTTGCCACCCTGGAGCAGCCAGGACTGTGTCCTCTGTGTCCTGCAAGACGAGGGACAAGGAGGTGGCAGCGCTCCTGCCCTCCCCGCCGTTCCTGAGAACGCTCCCGTTCGGCGGGTTGCATCACACGGGCAAACTGCTTTCCCAACTCGTAGCTGCGTCGCCCGCGGCCGCGTCAGCCCAGCCGTGGGGGACCGTGGCGGGTGCGGGGACAGCGTCCACCCCCGTGAGCTGGCACGCAGCCCACGAGCTTCCTCTGCTCTCTCCCCTTCCCTGGAGTTTCTTCCTTCTCCATTCGTAGGAAAAAGAAAGTGGGAAGAGAGCGATCCTGGCAGGAAAGCAGAAGCTGCCTCATCCTGCTAGGGCCAAGGGAGCAGTTTAGAATCACGACGGCTGCAGGCAGCAGGATGTAACGGGAGGTGGCCGGGAACGGTGGGTTCTCCCAGTGTGCCAAACAGCCGGAGCCCCCCGTGCCGGGCCACCTTGGCCAGCGCCGAGGAGGCAGCAGGGCCCCGCGCGTCCCTGCGCCGTCATCTCGCCTGAGCTCGGCGGGAGGCGAGTGACGCTGGCGCTGCGGCACCGTGAGCCCAGGGCGCGTAATTGCTTTCCTGGAAACCCGCCTCTCCAGCTGCGGCCTTCCTGCCGGAGAGGCACCACCAGCGCCCCGGCTGCTTCTCCGGGGGGGCCTTTGTGTCATCGGCGGCCGCAGGACCCCGGCGGCACTGGGACGCCTGCCATCCTGCTGCGCCTGGCACCACGTGCAGCACGATCCCGTGTCCCGCCTCCCTGGACGCCCAGCCGGGAAGGAAACCGCGCCTTTCTGGTTGCTGGAAAACACGGGGGGAACGAGCGGCTTGGGGGCTGCAGCACAAGCCAGGGCGGCGCTGGGCTGGGGTCCCATGCGGTGCCAACCCCTGGCCCCGCTGCCGGGGCCCCGTGGCGGGCAGCAGGAGCAGCGGTGCCCCAGCCTGGCGGTGACGGCGGCAGCACTGGTCCCGCGGGTTGCCAGGGTTACCCTGGCTCTGGTGCCCGCTGCTCCGGGAAACAGGCAGCTCCGGGTCACCCCTGCACCCCAGCAGCCGCCCCGGCCCTGCAGTGGCTCCCACCGGAGCAGCCCCCGGCAGCTCTGCTCTTCGGGCTGCACAGAGCTGGGGGAAGAGCCCCCTGCGGCCGCCCCGGAGCCGTCACCGTGGGCTCTTCAGCCCCGCTGCCAGGTGGCCACCGCCGCCACCCTCCTCCCGGTCACGCGAGCGGCTGCCCAAGCCGCTTAGCCGCATTGGGAGCCCTAATCCGGGCAGGCTGGACGCAGCAGCAGCGGGGCCGGCGCCTCCCCTCCGAGCAGCTCACGGAGCAAGGCTGCCCCGCTGACCCGCTTTGGTGGCACCGGGGCTGCCCCAGGGACGCGGTGCCACAGACCGCCCCGGCAGCGCTGCCCAGCCCTGCGCTCCCGCCCCAACTCCCGCCCCATCCCAGGCTGCACAGCCCGGGAGCAGCCTCATGCTGGCAGAAGGTGCTGCTTCCTACAGGCTCCCTGAGCCAGGGCCAAGGGCACACAGGTCCCGGCTCCCTGGCACGAGGGCAGCTGAGCCCGGGCCCTGCCGCCTGCACGGGTTGACGGTTGCTGCCATCCCCGTGGGACATGGGGTTCATGCAGCCCTGGCCGCTGGGATGGAGCCAGCCGGGAGCTCGCGTGGGCCGGTGCACGGGGCGAGGGGCAGGGCCGGACCCGGGGCCGGGCGACTCCGTGCAGGGAGCTCCGAGCCACGGAGGAGGAGCCGCCGCGGGCCGGACCAGAGCCCCCCGGCTCTGCCCATCAGTGAGATCCGCCCCGGCCCCGGTGCCACCTCGGGCCGTCCCCACGAGAGGGCAGCGCAGCCCCAGGAAGCGCCGCCGGCCCGGTCCCGCTCCCGGGGCCGCCCCCAGGACGGCAGCCAGAGCAGGGGCCGCCCCGGGCCGGGGGGCTCCTCGCCGCCGAGGCCCCGCGCACCCCGGGGGGCCGATCCCCCCACGGGCAGGCGCTGGCCACGGAAACACGAGCTCCCAGAGCAGCACGCGACACTTCAGAGCCTTTATTTTGGAGAAAGTTAAAGCCTGTAGATACAGCAATAAAATATACAAAAAAATAAAATTTTTTACAGTATTGAAGGGTGTCTGGGACACTGCTGCAGCCAGAGGCAGCTGCGCGCAGAGCAGAGGTGCAGGAGCAGCCCTGGGCTCCTGTGCCTGCCCCGGCCCAGGCTGATCCAGCCCAAGGGCCCTGGCGTGTGCAGGACGCTGCAGCCTCCTGCCCTCAGCTCTGCCCTCCATTCCCATCCCCTCCTTCACTTCCCACGGCTCCAGCACAGCCCACGGCCCCTGCTCTCTCCCCCACAGCCAAACTCAGAGGGCCCAGAACCCTGTAACACCTGGGGCCGTTTCCCACCAACGCGCTAGTCTGGGGCTGTGACCCTCTGCCGTGCCCAAGGACCAGCCCAGCCCTCTGTTCCTGCTGGAGGCTCCTGCCCGATCCCCCTTTCCTCGAGCCTCGGAGCGAGGCAGGACACAGAGCCCTGGGCTCCGGGCCCGGATTCCTCCCTCTCCATAGCCCCTGATCCCTTCAGCCTTCGCCCCCTCCTTGCTTAACACCAACAGCCACCTTCTAACCCAAATGCCACGCAAAGCCCCCGAGAAGCTGCAAACCTACCGACCAAAAATGCCCCAAGCCCCAGCAAAGGAAAGAGGGCCCAGCCTGGCAGCCCGGCCCAGCTGAGCCTCATTGAGCAGCCTCAGGGGCAGGAGGGCCACGGTGGCAGCTCTAGGGCCCCAGGGACCACAGACAGAGCCGAGATGCAAACGCTGCCTCGTGCCAACCACAAGGGTCTGGGGACAGAGCCCTGCTCTTCCCCACGAGAATCCGTGCAGGGCAGGGAGAGCAGCGGGAGCTCTGGGACTGCTGGAGCTCTCTGCCTGCAGCAGGAAGGTGGTGGCTCCCCGAGGCAGCTCCTGAAGCTCCTGGGGAGTCCTGAAGCTCCCAAAGCTTCCCAAAGCCCAGCAGAACTGCCCCTGTCCCAGGACAGGAGGGCCTGGGCCCATCCACCTCCCTGCTGCTGGCTGGGCCCCCAGCCCAGAACCAGGGGGAGCAGAAGGCACCAAGACAAGAGCTCCGAGGGCTGGAGGAGCCTCCCTTCGCTGGCTGGTTTTCCAGCACACGGTGCCGCGACTCCATCCCTGCTCAGCTACTAGGAGGCAAATCCACATTTCCAAGAGCTTCAGGGCTTTCTAGATAGCAGCAGTCAGCAAAGCAGCTTTCGAGAGCAGGCAGCTCAAGAGGGGCTGCAGAAGCATTTGTAAGAACTGAGGCTGCACTTGGAGGCTGATAGGCACTTGAATGAGCAAAACAATAATAAAGTGTGTTATGGAAGGAACTAGGAAAAGGGTTATCCCCCCCTCCCCGCAAAGAGACCAACGACACCACCACCAAGGTGGGTGATCATTTGGGTCAAGGAAATCTACGTCGAGGACCCTGGCCCCCAGCTCCTCGCAAGGAAAGGCCCCAAGCAAGCGACGGAGCAGGGCCAGACGGGGGGGGGGATGTTGGGACCGGGAAGGCGAGTGCCGGGAGGCTCCGGGAGCAGCGCTGGAGCCCATCACATGGGTGACGACGCACACTCGGGGGTCAGCTCCATGTCGAAGGTCAGCGACTCTGCAGGGAGACACAGCGGGAGGTTACGGGGCGCCCGGGCGTCCCGAGGGGCTAAGGTTGAGCCCTGGAGCTCTGTCCCCAGCCAGGCCATCCCTGTGCGGTGCTGCGGCAAGACCCACCGAACTGGCCCGCGTTGGCCTCTGCTCCCTCGCTGCTGATGCCAGACTGCATGAGTGAGTCCAGGGTGCGTGGGGACATGGGCAGGTCGATGCTGTTGCTGAAGGAGGTGCTGCACAGGGAGGGAAGGGAACACGGGGACAGTCAGATTCAGCAATAGATGATCTATGATGATGTGATTCAGCGATAGATGCAGACGGACAGACAGCACGGAGTGCTCCAACACCATGGCCAGCCCCAGATCTCAAGAGCTCGGCTCTCCACAACACAAGGAAAAAGCCAAGGAGGAAAGAAGAACCCCACGGATCCCGCTCTGGCCTCCTCCTACCCTGTCCGCAAGCCTGGGACCCGGTAGCAGAACAGTGTGAGCTGAGGGACTGTAACTACCCCAAGCAACCAAGCAGTGTGAGGAAAGACCCCCGGGAGCAGGGCTGCTCCCCGGGCTTGCAGACAGCCCTCCCAGGACACTCACGGGGTGACGCAGATGAACTTGGTCTTCAGGTACGGAGCGGCACCTGCAAGGAAGAGGAAGAGCAGACTTGTCACCAGCTGCCAAAGGATGGAAACCAACTCCCCCCCCCGCCCTGCTCCAGGTGGGAACGGCCTTATAGACACGGCACAGCAGCCACTGAGCCCTCACAGGCTGCTGAAGCCCTGCACAGGAACCAAGGAACGTGCCCCCAAGCACTAGTCCCAGGCTGCAGCTGGGAATTGTGACCCACAGCAGGATCCCACAGCTACCACCGGCTCTTCCGCCTCAGAGTGATCATGAAACAAGCCCAAGCGACTCGCCAGCTTGCGCACGAGAGCACAGAAAGTCAACGACTACCTGAGTCTGTAGCTTCAGAGTGCTCCTGGCTCTCAGGGCGACAGTACTTCCCAAATGCCTCCTCCTTCGGGATGTCCGGGTACAGATACACCAGGGGGGACACCAGGATGTTGGTGGCATCCATGATTTTGTAGCCCATGATGATCTCCGCAAAGGACATACTGTTTAGCTGCTGCTTGGTGTAAGGCTCCACGGACTGGATCTGGGTTTTCCCTGCACAAAGACACTTTTCACACAGGGCAAGGTGCCCATGTTCCTCGAGCAGGGGCAGAGATCTTCCTCAGACAGTGCAGGAGGGACTGGGACAAGGCAGAGCAGCCTGGGCTCGTGCCTGGCACAGCAGAGCTGCTGCAGGCACTGGGGCTGTGGCACGTGGGCAACAAGAGGCCCTGGGCAGCACAGAGAGGCAGTGCCAGCAGCCTGGAAAGCTGCACTGTGCCAGCAACACGTGGGCAGGGGCACCCGGCACAGAGACCACCAAGAGGCACCCGGGCTCATGCTCAAAGTCTTAACCAAGGGAGAGGGCCCGTCCGGATAAAGGACAAACGTGATCAGTGACACTGCTGTGATCCAGGAGCATCCCTGGCACGAGGCACCACTGCCAGGGCAGGCAGGAGGCAACGTACCACTGATATCCTTCTCCACCCAGGTGAAGGTGATGCCCCCTTCCTTGCTGCTCTCGCTGAAGCGTAGCAGGAAGGTTCCCGGCGGCTTGGTGCTCAGGATCGCTCGCTCCCGCTCCTTGCTGATGAAGCCCATGATGTAGCTGGAGGGCAAGGAGAAGAGCATGCCAGGGTGGGGGCACATTGGGGCAGCTGCTCTAAAGCACGAGGGCTGCCAGTCCTCTGCCCTACACAGCTTGAGGCAGCCACAGGGCCTAGCCTTACTTTCAGCAGAGCTTTTAGACATTCCCAGGTGCCGGGAAGGGTTTTTGCTTGGAAGCAGCCAGCAGGGTCTAGGCTGAAGAGGCACCCTGGGAAAGCCAAGCGCCTGTACGCAGAAGACATTCCCACCACCCTCGGGACAAGGTTCCCAGGTCTCCTGCCCCAGGTCACCACCCAGCCCCAGGTGAGGCTCACCCTTCGTTCCACAGCGCCAGGATGTATTTCTTCACCAAGTCAATGATGTTGTCCAGCCAGACCCAGAAAGAGAAGCCTTTGCCAGCCATGTTCTCCTGAGCAAGAGAGCGGCGATGCTGCGAGTGCAGCCTGGGCAACGGACAGCCCAGGGAAGGCACTTGGGAGGAAAGGGGAACGATACCTTGCAGAACTTGGCCCAGGTGATTTGACAGCCAGAGTAATTCACACCTGGCCCTGGCAGAGAAAAACAGGAGAATCAACATTGCGATAGCCATTCTTCCACGCGGCAAACCAAGTTTGCAGTATTTCGAGGAAAACCAAGCAATTACAAAGCAGAACTCTCTTCCCAAACCGTGCAATGCTACTACTACATTGCATATACAAATGGGTCTCACAGGAGTTACCCCAGCAGGGCAAGCAGGACACTCAGGACAGCGCCTACCCAGAAGCTTTTCAGCCAGTGTCGTCAGCTGCTCGATGCTGAGCCCGCGCTTGGTGGTGGAGGAGAACTGCCAGCTCAGCACCTCCGCCACCTGGTCCCAGGTCCCGATGGGCGGCTTGGTGAAGAAGTTCACGTTCTGCACAAGGAAACACCCAGCCCTGAGCAGGGCACTGTACGGAGCAGGAGGGCAAACCCCAAACGAGCCCTGCGAGGCCACGGCTTTCCCCCTCCGCTTCCTCCCTCCGCTGCAGCCTGGCTGCTGGGCAGCTGCCCAGGAGGCTGCAGGGCATCTCTGTCGCCCACCCCCGCAGCCCCCAGCCCTACCTTGGGGTTGTTGGTCAGCATGTTGTACCACAGGATGGAGGCCCAGGCATTGGGCATCTGGCAGATGTTGGAGATGACCACGACGGGCAGCGAGTGGGTCTGCAAGGACACGATGCGAGCACAGGCTGGGACATCTCACAGGGCTGGAGCTCAGGCAGGTGCCTCCTGCCCCTGCTCTGGGTCTGTGTCCAGCAAGGCAGAGCCACACGGCCCATGACACCCCCGAGCTCGGCACCTCCTCAGCCCTGCAGCCCCCTCCTCCTTGGCCTGCAGGAGCCCACAACTCACCTCTAGGTCAATCTTCAGCCCTTGGTGATAGACCTCTGTCTCAAAGGTGATGAGATGCAGCTCCTCAGTGACTATCAGCGAGGCCTGAGGGGGGATGAGGGCACAGTGAGCACCCAGGAGACACCCGCCCTCATTCTCACCCAGGGGACACACAGCCACGGGCACCAGTGCTGCTGCTAAGGTCTCTGCTGCTGCTCTGGCAGCTGCCAGCGCATGGGATGACGCCAGCAAACACCCTCTGCGGGCAGTGCCCCCACTTCCCCTTTCTGTGGTTGAGCTGCTCGATGCAGAACGAGGCTTGGAGCTGCCAGGGGATTGCGAGGGGTGCTCCAAGCAGAGCTGGCAGCCTCTCCTAAGCAGGGCCCCTTCCCCAGCGCAGCCCCGGCTCAACACTTACATCGCAGTTGGCTCTTCCTCCATTGCCACATCGCTGCTCCCGCAGTGTCTGCGAAGAGAAGGAAGAGCTAAAGCAACTCCTCAGGCCCAAGGGCTTCAGAGCAGCCCCGAGGGCTCCCTGTACCCACCAGGTGCTTGAACTCTGCCGAGAGGCTGCCGTTGTTGGACTCTTCCATGTTCATCACCTTGGTATTTGTCCCCAGAATGTTAAACTTCCGCGACCTGGAAAGAGCAGAGACACAGTGTGACTGGCAGCTCCTCAGAGCTAACAGGACAAAATGCTTGCCAGGGTATAAAGAGCCAAGCAGCAGCATTGCACTTACCCCCGCAGGGCTGCAACATCCCCGGAGTCCCTAGGAGAGAGGGGAGAGCACAGGCAGCGTCAGCCTTCCGCATGGACACGGGAGCGCGAAGGGCAGCCCTAAAGGAGCTGCTGTGCGGGCAGCACTGCACCCCCAGGCCGTGCCCTGCACTGGATGCTGAACCCTAGGACATTGCCACCCTGCGCCAGGGAGCAGATCCCGCTAATCCCCTTCTACTCAGAGTCACGCTGGCCCTTGGCACAGGAATGGAGATCCAATGGCACAGGAACAGCCCAGGGAGCAGCAAGGCCCATCCCAGACACTCCACCCACCCAACTCCAAGATCACCAGACTCACTTGTCAATGCAGACTTTAATTTTCAGCTGATAGTTCAGCTCTGGGAACTTGACCAGCAACCTGCAAAGAGGCAGGAGATGTGCAAGTGAGCATAAACACCCTGCACAGGCAAAGAGCTCCAGTTGGAAAGCGATGAACCGTGGCCAGAGACTGGGGCTGCACGAACAGCACTGGTGGGTGCCTACCCAGCCTGGCAGCATCATGGTTCACTCCACACTGCCCACTGAGACTCAGCACCACACAGTTCACCCAGCTCCCCTGATCTTGCCCGTGCTCAGAGCTGTGTTAGGCCAGTCCTGGCACTGTCCCCAGAACAGGGGGCATCACCTCAGTGCTCTGAGTCCCCCTCCATCAGGGCCTCTCAGCTGCTGCTGCCGCCCGCATCATGGGGACATCTGCTCTGATCGAGCACCATCTGCCCCACTGTGTTGCTGCACGTGAAGGGGCAGAGCGGGGCCACGAGGAACCCGCTCCGGGGCAGAGCCGGGTGCAGGAGCGGCTCTGCAGAGCCAGGCGCACGGAGCAGCTGGGAGGCAGCCGGCCAGGGAAGCGCCGCTGCTTCCTGCCCACCACCCCCACGGCGGGATTTACCAGAACCCCGGCTGCCTCCAGGAACGCAGCAGCTCCCCAGCCAGCAGCCACTGAGTCACTGGGCCGCACACCAGCAGGGCCAGCTCGCAGGGGTTCATTCCCTCCCGGGCTCCCAGCACTTCCCACCACGGCAGCAGCCACAGCAGCGTTTCCTCTGGAGGAGCTCCTGGCTCCCTGCCACGCGGCTCCCTCCCCACGGCGCAGACACAGAGCCAGCGGCTGGCCACGCACCTGACTTTGGTGGTGAACTGCACGCCTGTTTTGATGACCAAGGGCCGGTCGGGGTGCATGGGCATGCAGGGCTGCCTCTCCACGACGAAAGCGCTGCAGGGACAAAGCGCAAGGCAGCGCGGTCACATCCCAGATCCCATTCCAGCACACGGGTTGCTCACCCCTTTCCATGCTCCCCATAATCCCAGAGCTGCCGGCAACTCTGCGTACCTTTTCATCAGGTTCCTGAACAGCTCTACGATCCGCTCCTCCAGCATGGGCCGGTGCTGGACAATGGGGTCACCCTTGTAGGACACTTTCTGCTGCAGCTCTTCCAGCTTCTTGATCTGCTGCCGGGTCTGTAGCTGTGACTCCGCAAGAGAGGTTATCCTAGGGAAGGCAGGAAGGACCTCTGTTAGCTCTGGCTGCCAAGCCTTGCACCCTGCATGCTCCCAGAGCACCCACTGAAGCCCTCTGCTCCCCTCACTAGGGCACGAGGTGGGAATCTCTACTGCAACCGGCAGAGAACAGAACGGTCTGTGCCTCCCAAGTGGGTGTATTCAGGCTATGAGCTAAAGAAGAAATCTGCACATTTCTGAGCTCTGCAGAGAAACATCTGCCAAGGGCCTACAAATAGCCACACAGCAACAGGAACTCCTCACAGCAGCCTTGGGAATCCCACAAGCCTGGAGCTAGAAATTCCTGCTGCGGTGCCTGCTCTCCAGGACCAGTCTGACCAGTAGATTACATTTATGCTTGCGGGCATCAGCACCCAGTTGACAAAGACATTCCCAGAGGCATTCCCAGACTGTCTCCACTGCAGGTGTTTGGACGCAGCCTCTCGAGGGGTTAATGCAACTCTCAGCAGGCTTCCTTACCAGTTCTCCAGCCGGTCGAGACAGATATTGGGGGGGCCACCAATGCAGGCGATTTGCTGCCGTCTTTTCCAGTCTGCTAGCTCGTCATCTGCAAGCATCTTCTGCACATACTCCATGGCTGACAACAGCCCAGCCAGCTCACTCACAATACCCTATCGAGGAAGAAACCCGGACCCTCAGCATCCCCCAACTCCCTTCAAGAGCTGCAAGTTCCACAGCAAACAAGAGGTGACTGAGGGTTACACTTCTAGTGACCCTCTCAGACCCGGCCACGCAGGAGCACCAGACTCCTGTTCCAGGGAGAGACCTGCATCGCAGAGGGATCTGCAGGGCTGGTCACTCCTGAGCGTGCACAACGTACCCTCCGCATTTGGTCCAGCGCCGTGAGCATCTGCTCCAGCTGCTGCATTTTCTGCCGGGTCACTGACTGGTTGTTTCCATTCAGATCCTGCATATCTGCAATGAAAGGAGAGAGTTTCAGTTAAGCACAAGGACTCCTGCCCTCCTGAGGATCACACACACACAGATCTCCAGTCAATTACGACAAAAAGCCGCGCAGGAGGCTGGTGATCATTAAGCAGCCTCCTCGCTTCTTGTTGGCTTTAGTACCGGCACAGCAGGGATATCACCTCTACGTGCCACCTCTCCATTCACACCCAAAACAAGCAGAGCCCTTTCAGCTCTCCTGGAGCTCTGCCAGCAGCAGAACCAAAAACAAGGTTTCTCCAATTGCCATGCAAATGCCCTGAGCCTAAACTACCCTTTTTGCTGGGTAAGATGCACTGTGAGGGCTGGAAACACCCTCCAGCACGTTTCCTTACAGGAACACACTTTGGTTTGCCAGAAACTAACGAGCTTCCATTACCTCCTTGGCTTTTCAAAGTCTTGTAGTTGAAATCAAAGTCATCTTGGAGATTTTCCACCACTTTCATCTTCTGCTCCAGATCCTGCAAGGCCAGAGATGTATATTTGTTCAAAGCACCAAAGCACAGGGCTCTTGGGCATCATCTCCTCTCCCGGGTGTTGCACGCACATACCTGCACCCTCTTCCTCACGTCCTGCAGATGCTGCTCCAGCATTTGCTGCTTTTCTGTCACTACAGCTGCTGTCGGGTGTGTTGCCTGTCCCCCTTGCTGCAGAAGGGGCAAGGAGGACTTAGAACAGGGCTTAGGACCCGGAGATACTCTGCGTCGCGGAGGTTTTGCAGGCAGGGCCATCATGTTTACTATCAAAAGCCGTGCAGCAGAGCACGTGCACGGGTCGGCCAGCGGGAAAGGGCGATCCCAGGACACCACCTGCCCCCGAACCACTCACCTGGGCTGCGGTCGCAGCTGTCTGAAGGAGCCGGGACTCTTCCCAGAGGCAGCGAGCCACAATGCGGGCTATTTCCATCGGCTTCTCCAAGTATCTGCTCTGTAAAGCACCCAAATCCCCAAAGTTAGCGGGTAAAACGCAACTCGTGGGATTTGCAAAGCCTTTCAGGCTGCGGTTCGAATCGCGCAGAGGAAGCGTTAGGAGTGCCCAGGCTCCCTCCTCCTTTAAACACTCCCAAGCCAGTATTCCAAAACAGAATGTGCGCTTTCTTCCCACCTGCAGGAACTGCTTGATGCGCCGCAGGTTGTGCTGGTACAGGACGTTGGACTCCTGCAGGAAGCGGCTGTACTGCTGGTCGATCTCCCCCAGCAGGTTGTGGAAGACCAGCGTGGCGTGCGACTCCTTGCTGGCAGCGTAGGCCCTGGCGGGGCAGGACACGAGCCTGGCACCCCGCGCAGCGCGGCGGGCACCGCTCCATCCCCAGCGGACCCGCGCGGCCTCCGCGACCGGCCGGGCTCCCCCAGCAGCGGCTGCTTCCCTGGGGTGGCAGCAGCTCCCCCCAGGAGCCACCCGAGCACACACGAGGACAGGGTGACAAATGTTCTCGGCTTGTGCTCGGGCTCTGGCTGGAAGCCAGCGGCCAGAGCACGCAGCCTCTGCTCCATGCCCACGTGCTCTCCAAAAAGGACCCAGGAGCAGGTGGCTCCTTTTCAGCCTCATGTACGAGAGAGGACAGTGGAAACGGAGCCCGGATGCGGACACCTTTGCTTTGCTCCCTGCCCCTTTCCCGCGCGGACGTTTGGCACCGCACACACAGGCTCGTGCTCCGTTTTGCCCTGCACTTGACGAGTCTCACGGGGACACAGGGCAAGGAAGAGCAGTTGTGCAGAGCCAAAGCCGTGGGGAACAAGCACAGCCTGTTTCCAAAGCTCCCTGGCACTCGCTCCCATCCCAACCCTGCTGTAGGGCAGAGCTCAAGGGTGCAAAGGAACAAGACCAGCAACCCGCACTCAACCCTCAGATCCAAATTCCAAATCCTCAGATTTGGAAACAAACACTGGAAAATCCCTGCTCATGCGATGCAGGGGACAGGCCCTCCCCTAAAACAGAGCCCCGAGCACCCCAAACCGAGTCTACCAGCCACAAGGCCTCACCAGTCCTGGCTCTCAATCCAGGGTGCCAGGAACTGCCGCAGCTCCATGGGGAAGCTGTCGCTGTAGAGCTGGTGGAGCTGCTCCAAGTACCGCGTGTCGAGCTGCTGCAGCTGATTCCACTGCGCCATCCTGGCCGGCTCCGGAGACCTGTGGGGACAGGCACGGCGGTGAGCGCCGCGGTGCCCGGCGGGATTCTCCTCCTGTGCACCGGCCCCGGGGCCCGCCAGGGGAAAGGTGCAGGCTTTGGGTGCGGGACCGAGGTGCTCAGGGCAAGGGGAGGGCGCGATTGCCCTCGGGCCGAGCAGGGAGGTTTCTGAGCTCATCCTGCAGGCAAGGTCCCGCACCACAAGGCACCGCAGCCCCAACTCCGGCCCGAGCCCCCGTGTCAGCAGGAGCGGCGAGGCTGGGACACTTGCAACGGCAACGCGACAGTCTCCGGTCACGGCGCGTGGAGCAGCAGGAGCCGCCCCCAGAGGCTCTGCCTTGGGCTGGGGTGCAGCGAGGGCCCTCAGCCACCTCTGCAGACACCTGCAGAGCCCAAGCCCGGGGTCCCTGGTGATGCCGCCCGGGAGCCGCTTCCCACCGCCCAGGAACCGCTTCCCACTCCACAGAGCCCTGGGCCGACCCGTGGGCAGCCCCGGCAAGCAGCAAGAGCTGCTGCCATCGCTGCCCCCGCGAGACAAGAGGCCGGCAGCAGCTCGGAGCGCCAGCGCCGCTGTCGTCACCAACACACGGGCCCACGCCGGGGGAGAAGCGGGAACCGCAGAGCAAAACCGCAGGGCGAGCAGCGCCGCGAGCCGGGGGAGGACCCGGCCGAGCCGGGGAGGGAAAGGCCCTTCTCATCAAGGGCAAACGGCAGCCCCAGCGGCACCGCGCGGGGCCGGGGGCGTGCGGGGAAAGCGGAGCCGCCTCCTTGTGCGGGGCGCGCGGTGAAAGGGCCCCCAGGGCCCCCGCTGGGGAGGCTGCGCTCGAGACCCGGCCGCGCGCGAGGCCGCGTCGGGGCAGCTCCGACAGCTCCGTAGGGTCCCGCTGCCAGCGGCCTTGGCCGCGAGGCCGAAAAAAAAGGAGGATCCTGACTCATTTTTCCAGCGAGCGAAACGAAGGCGAAACACCCGAGATTGCAACAGCGGAGCTGGCACCGGCCGCTCGCAGCGGAGCCCAGCTCTGTCCTCCCCCGTCCCGAGGGGGATTTGCAGGAGCATTAGAACAAAAATAAACACAGGGACTTGGGGAGGCTGCAGAGCTGGCTCCAGTGGGGTTGGTTTGTGGAGCCCTGTGCCCTGTTGTGGGACCCACGGGGAGACCCCTGGGCTGGGCTTGGAAGTTCGGCCGCCCTCGGCTCGGCCGCCGCTCCGCTCGCGGAGCGGCGGCCGAGCCGAGGGCGGCCGAACTTCCAAGCCGGAGCTGCGGAGAGGCACCACTTCCCAGAGCTCTTTTGCACCAGGGAAGGGTCTCAGAGACAGGCAGGAGACTCGAGAGCCGCTTCCCAGCTCCTAGGAGGGCAGGGAAGGAGCCGCGGAGCTTACGGTAAAGCGCAGGGGAGGCGGAGACTGCCGGGAAGCCGCAGAAAGCAGGAAGGAGCAGGTCGCGGGCGCTGCTGCTGCGCGGTGCAAACGGCAGCACGGCCGAGGAGCGAGGGCGCCCGCGGGACAGGTCGCTTCCCCACGAGGTCTTTGCTCCTCCGCAGAGGTTATTGCGGCGAGGGACACGTCAGCCGTGGCTTGGGAAGGGGCCCTGCACCGGCAGCTTGCGGCTGATTGTCCTGGCAAAGCCGGGACGAGATCCCTGCTGGCTCCGACACGGGAGCGACGGGAGGTTAAGGTGGCAGCGAGTGGAGCCAGGCGCCTGTCACACGCAGGGCCCAGGCCCTGGGGCTGCTCTTTGCAAGGGGAAGGGGACGTGTTGTGTCCCAGGGGGATGCAGGAAAGGGGGGTCATGGGCGCCTGGCGCAGGGATAAAGAGGCTTTCACCCAGGTGACAGATGCACCGTGCTGGGATGCCAGCCCTGGAGGTGCCCGTGGCACGAACACAGGTGATTCCTGCTCCCCACGGGCACAGCGGGACCCCCACCCTGTCCCAGCCCTGTTTGCCATGGAAATCACCCCAAAACACCTGGGCTAAAGCTGAGAAACCCCAGATGAGCTCGGCCACATCGCGTCCCTTGCACCGGGGCCGAGGGACCCCCAGCACCGACCGAGGCGGAACCGCCCGGCCGGGAAACCGCGGCCGCCCTCCCAGGCCGTGTCCCGCGGGAGGAACCTCCTGGGAGCGCAGGGAGCGGAGCCAGCACCGAAACGGGAAGCGGAGAGGCTGCTTGCGGGGCGAGTGGGCGCCGTGTGGGGACGCGGGTGGCCCCAAAGCCCCCGGATTCCCCCCAGGGAGCCGGCGAGCGCAGAGGCCTCCGCCGGCGCCCCGCCACCCCGCGCATGCTCCCGCCGCCACAGGAAACGGCCCCGGCGCACGGCAGCTCCGCCCCGCAGCGCCGGCCCGCGGGGGACGCAGCCAGACGGGCAAAGGGCCCCGCAGCGCCGCCAAAGGGACCCGGTGCAGCCCCACGGGGACCCTTTGGGGCCCGGTTGGCACCCCCGGAGCTGCAGCGGGGCCCGCAGCGAGCGCCGGGGTAAACAGGGTGCATGGGTGCAGCCCGGGAGCTCAAGGCCGTCCACAGGGCACGGGGGCATCCCGGGTGGCACCGGGCCCTGCGGCCGCCTCTCACCAGTGCCCGGGCCGTCCGAAACACCGCGGCTCTGCGCAGGGACAGAGCCCCGCGCTTTGCAGCGCTCACACCAAGGGATGCGGCGCCGGCGGCAGCTCCTTGGCTCTGGAGAGCAGAGACACCTCGGAGGCAGCTCGCGGTGCCGGGCAGCAGCCCCGCGGGGAGCCCAGGAATCGCCTCGCGCTCGGACAGCGCCGCGTGCCCCCGGGAACAAGGAGCTAATTCCTGCGGGCAGCGGCCGAGCAGCTCCAGGCAGCTCTGTCTGCAAGGAGAACTTGGCTCTGCTCCCCGAGGTGCTTTCAGTGTTGACCCCAAAGGGAGGAGCACCAAGCAGCAACAGGGGACACGCGAGTTGGGGGGCAGCAGGAGCCCATGGGGGGCTCTCAGCCCCGGCGCGGAGCCCTTGGCACAACCGGCCGCTCCCAACTGCAGGCTCTGCGGGGTCCGTCCCCGGCCTGGGGGCTCCATCCCTGTGGCCACCGCGGTCGGGACCTTCCTGCCCAGGCCAGCAGTGCCTGTCCCCAAACATCTGCTCCCGCGGCTCCAGGCATCTGTGGAAGGGGCTTCCCGGGGGATGAGGCCTGAGGGCGATCGGAGGCCTGGGATGGACAGGGGGGTTAACCATAGGGACAGGGCCCCACGGGGGACAGGGCCCCACGGGGGACAGGGCCCCACGGGGGACAGGGCCCCACGGGGGACAGGGCCCCACGGGGGACAGGGC